GTATACTGGGAGGTGGCCATAAGAATAGGGCTCCGCTTAACTATCCTTTGTACTTCAGGAATTTCAATCATCCAGAGAAACTGCAGAGGCATCCTCAATCCAAGCAGAATGAGCTTCAAACATGGTCTGAAGGGTCTCCCAGTATCACCTCATAGCAAGTAACTTCCACCCAACTTCCAGGAAAAAACAGACGGGTCCTTTCTAGGCAGGGGATTGAAGAAAGAGTGGTCCACATAAGGATTTATCACAGGAGAACCGAGTCTTGCAAACAGTTTCAATCTTTAGGGCAGATGAAGAAACACCAACTATGTCTACCTTTCCAACAGATTCTGTTAGATTGCTCTGCCCACACTGCTCTAGCATAGCTTCGCTTGAATGTCTGCATTGTACCTACTGGGGCCGCGTGGCTCCTCAGATTTGTGGTTCCTATGCAGCCTCTGACATAACTAATAATCTGCCGGTGATTTACATTTCAGAGTGCCTAAAGCAACATGAAGGTTGTGTGGATGTGCAGTAGTATGTTGTTCTGATTGCAAGGATATGTGGTACATGCCCGAGAGTGGCACGAGTTTGGGTGAAGAGCCTGAGGTGGTAAGGGTTCCCAGCATTGTGGGGTTTGCACAGCGTTATAAAACCGCGTAGGACAAGGGAGTCATATTCTGGTGTAGTTTCATCCACGTGTAGATCAGTCCTTGCACTGAACGAGCCCCAGAACGACACTTGGGTTTCACCTCAGAGGAAGCTGGTTTGGTGTCAAAGTGAAACATGGACCACCCATGCAGCGTACAAGATGCAGAACCAAAACCTCGGAGACAGCTAGGGAGCTAAGCCATCTTGTACGTGAATGTTCACAGAGGTACTGGGGCATGTGGCGCCTGTCTCTTCCTCACAGGGTTAGATAAGTACGCTGGGTAGCACTGGTGGTGAAGTCCGCACAACAGTAGAGCTGCTGCCTCTGCTGGTGTTTTCTTTGCAAAAGAAACACAACAGCTTACATCATTCTGCTGCCCTAAGACTATGGGGGCCCAAGTAATGATAACTGACAGGTTTGTTTTGTTTTGTGTTGTTTTTTAAAAAGAGGTTCTCTGTAGCTCTTGAGGTCCCCTGCAGAATGACGGCAACCAAAATAAACCCTTCCAAATGAATGGAAGAAATCACAATTCTTTCAACTCCCTCAGGCTGCCTTCAGAAGAGAGCATAAGTTTGTCTCTGTTCTCAGGATCTTCCTCTCACCCTGGTATCTCCTCGGTAATTTGTTTATCCTACCTGTCCCAAAAGAAGGACATAGTCTGAAAGCAGGGCTGGAAATCTAGCCACGCTCTTTTGGAGGCTAAAGGAGTTTTTAAATCGGAGACAAGCTGATCTTGGGTTATTCTCCAAAGAACATTTTTAGGATCTCCCTGCTGCTTTGACTTCTCCTGAGGGAACATGATGAAAATGGCATGGTCACTTTGATCTAGGTGGGATGGAGGAGACTGAAATCTGCTTCATCGCTGCGGCAACATTACGGATAACATTACACCATCGATACCGTTATTCTTGCCGGGGTGGTTATATGAAGAAAGTCAAACAGATTGTGTTGCTTCCACCAGAGGTCAGATACGGTCAGCGTCAGAATTGAGGAGAAAGTCTGAAGGCTTTCACTTGCCAAAGCAATAGGGGAAAAAAGGTACTTACTTCACCATCTACTTTCATATACACCGTGGGGACCACTTTGACAAAGTACTGAAACATCATGGAAGCTATAAGCAAAGACAGAGAGACACAATTAATAACCGGCAAAGAGCTGGAAAGCTTGACTGACAGGTTAGGTAGACGCAGATTGGTTTTGTTCAACTTGTCAGGGAACATCTTTCTGCACAACAGCTACTGGAGGTTTTCAAGGACAGTAAAGTTAATGTCTGACATAAGTTTTCCTTTTGCCAAAGTGAATCTCATTCCTGTTCCAACCAAAACCAAAACTACCGGCATTTCAGCCTTGACTAAATGGAAAACTTCCTACAAACCAGTTATCTTGCTATAGTTTTACCAGTACGACTTCTTGAAAATTCTTATTCTAGCACATGAAAACCTTTATATTTAACGGCATAGCCCTAAGAAAACATACTGAAAAGAAAGATCTTTCAGAAAGGTCGCAGAATCAAAACACGTTGGCAGATTTGTTCCAGATGAATGGAGGCAGCTGTTCCAGAAAGAGCACAAGGTGGAGGACTCCACGTTTTACGCAACGCTGTCAGGGTTCTTGTTAAAGACTGGGAACTTCGCTCCTGTTCTCTTCTAACACTTATTAATACAGACACTTAAAAAGAGATTTCCCTCCGCTGGCTTTTACCTTGCTGTGCAGTGACGTCCGTCCCATCCAGAGGGTTCACAATGCCTGGATAATCCCTTCCAAATGAGAGATGTTTGATATAGTGCGTCATATTGATCTGAAACGGAAATGCTAATAACTCAAACAACTGCACAGCATCCGAGGGGCAAGGTAAGGGGCCTAAAGTTAACTATTTGTATATTTTTCTGAGTGTGGCTCTGGGACAGAGACAGGACCTCCCTTACCCTGCGCGTCCTAACAGTAAACTCCAAAGCACTTGCTCTTCTTTTTTATTCATGGGAGATTCCAAGATGTGGAATTTCTCCTTTTCCTGCTGGAAACCCCCAGACGCCGGTGCCCTTCCCTCCCATCTACAGAGCAGGCTCTCCCACCCACTCCTCTCCCTGCCACAGGAGCACCATGCTGTCAGCTGCCTCGGTGGCATAGGTATGGGTATCATCTGCTTTCCTCTGAGCACCAGGTAAACTCCAACAGATCCAGAAGCAGTTGTGAAAATGTCAACCTTTGAAAACTGGGAAGCACAGATTAAGGAGCAAGGCAGTCTCAGGAAGAGGGGAACAGGCTTGCCAAGCAACATGCAGATGTGCCAGAACATACTTCAGAGCCCTGTGTGAAAGCAGGTCCCAGGTTCTGCTCAGACTCATAAAGCCAAATCCGGCCGGGATCTCAATGTGGCAAAGGGAGGGAAATCCAGAAGGAAAATAGACCAAGAGAACCAGAACACTATCTTGGGAACACTTACATTATCAAGTCCGAAGCTCTGCAGATCGTGAACTGTAATAGAAAAATAGTTTAACAATATAGTTCAGACTGTGATAACAAGCATATCTGTTTACCCTATTTTAGCTCCCTCTCTAGAGGGAGCTCCTCTCGTTTCCATCGCGATCTAAAACGGCAAGAAAATCCCCTGGGTTTCTCTCTTGCTTGCAGTAGGGCACGTGATAGATAAAACTGCTGCAATTCCCCTCCCGACATAGACTAGCCACTGCTAGAGTGAAGGAAAGTAACTTTAACTTGGGGTTAATTCAGATTAGGTTTTTCAGTCCTCACCCAAATGTATTCTTAACCTAGGGCAAAAACAAGATTCCAGGGGCAAGCAAGTGTGTTACCTCAGTCACCACCTGACACACATAACTCCTCTAACTACTGTAAAACACAGAGGCGCACCAGATCTAAACCAGCAACTGAGCAGAGCACGTGCCTTAATACCACATGCAAGTGCCCTAAAGGAATCATCATCACCTTAGCAACTCTCAGCGCTCTGCCTATCGGCCTTGTTACTGCTGCCCGGAGAACGCACAGGGAAAGGAAAAGTCTTTGCGGGGACGGCCTGAGCAGGGTATCTGCAAACCACTGGTGGGGCCAAGGTGACTGTCACCAGGGCTAGGATTTGGGGAATTTGGCCTGCCCTCTCTCTGCCCTTCCTGCGTACAGCACTATGACGACGCTGGCAGCACCACGCACCCCCAGAAGGGATCTGGCAAAGATACGGGCAATGGGAGGCAATGGATATCTTTTGGTTGGCTACTTAAATGGCTTTATGCAATGCCAGAAGCATGAGTCTCAGGATGAAAATATAACTTACAACTCGATTTCAGTATCACTCCTACCAGGTTACCCAAAGTCACACAATCATCTTAAAGCAGCCAGAGGCTGTGGCGCATTTTGACACGTAAATTCACGTGCTCAGGAAGCCAGACCTCACCTTTCACCTTAGCAAAGAAAAACACACTTCAAAAATCATGGACTATTATTTTAGGAGCTGATGGAGTCAGATCACCAAGTGCTGCTCCATTATCAACAAAGATTAGGAATGCTGCCCCCTTGAAGGGTTTCTGATACACAGCCTAGCACAAGACAGGCTGCAAAGCTAAAGAACTGATTGAAACTAGTCTCTCCTTTAAAACATTTATTTAACACGAGTGTGCTGTGAACTCATTTTTTCCCATTAACACCTTTCAATAAAACACCAGAAGCTTTACTTGTATTTATATAAACCCCTTACGAAACCCAAAGATACATACATGCAAAACAGAGAATGTACAGTTAGAAAAGGAAATGCTGAGCCTAAACTATACTCCTCCTAACGCTCTGATTTAGGGAGAGGCCCTTGCATTTCACAGTTAAAACGTTCAATGCTCAGAAACTAAGGCTGCAGTCATTGGAATTAAGGCAATGGTTCTGCATTACAAAGAGCTCAGAGCTGCACTGGCTTCAGATATTCCTGTTGCTGTCTCTGACAAGTGTGCAGTCCTATTGCTGCCACTAGCACAGTGGTTTGTGTGCCTGTGCTGGCAACGGGATCAAAGAACTCATTTGGCCTTAAGAAAGAAACTCCTACTAAAAATTTGGAAATAGATGTGAAATGGTGGGCAGGGAAAGGAAAGAAGGGAGAAATGGCCTTGGGATTATGCTACGCTGTTTTTCTTAACGGTTACCAGCAACACCCTGTTTCACGCCGCAGTATTATTTGCACTTAAGTCAAGAGTTAAGTGGCTTAGCTATCAGTGAAGTGTCAAGTCCCGCTGCCTTTTGTACAGACACCAGCAGGCTAACCTTCAGTTAATAACAAAGTTCTACGGAGATCCTGGCTCTGGTCGATCTGCATTTAAACTGGACCTACTGCCAAAGGAATAAAACAGTCTTTGTCCCCCCATCTTTTCTCTTGATGGCTCATTCCTGTCCCACCCTCCTTTCGGTCATGAGCTACATCAGAGAACATATGAGGCTGAAATGTAAGTATTGCTTTATGTGAGGCTATTCTTCCAGCCAGAGCAGCTCCAAAGTAAGGTTAATCGCACAGCTGCACAAACGCTTGTGCTGGCGCAGTGCAGCGATGCACAGGGAGGGACAGGGATGCTCCTCCTGGTAGCTGTGCTCCTAGAACCCTACGCAGGATCATGGTGTTTATCCAAGCTTTAACGCTTGGGTAGTCACATTCGTTAGCACGTGAAGCGGGAGCTGAGTACTGGTAAGACTGACAAATCTTACAGTAATAGCGCAGTACCAGAGAAATTCAAGGGCAGCACTTGAGAAAGACCAGTCATTAACTAACCTGTCATACTAGATTTACATCGTGCATGACCCATTTTAACAGTTATGGCTATCCAAAACAAAATTTCCCCACAGTGCTCTGCTATGCCTTCCACAGATAAAATGCCAATAACTAGTTTTTATAAAACTCCTCTCCAATAAACGCTTTACAACTCGGCGAAAAAGCATGATTTATACGTTCAGTTTCTAAAACAGTCTTCCACCAGACCACAGGTTTATTTACTTCTGATCACTGAGGATTATGCTAAGCACACGTGTAGATACTCCAAGTTGCAGATAAATGTTTAGCTAGCCATAGTATGCTTAACATAAAACAACAGGCTATTTGGCCTGCTTAGAGAAGAAACAGAACAAGGAAACAGAACAGAAGGCCTTAAGAGACTGTCAGCTAGGACCAGAGACTGTTATTTCTGAAGAAACATAAACACATTCCTTCCTTTCTGTAACTGCAGCTAAGTGCCTAGCTAGGTAAAATAGAGAGACCTGTAAAACATCTTAAGTTTGCCAAGAAGTCTGTCTGTTTCTATATAACCTCGTTTTCTTCACTGTTTCAGTAACACAGTTTTAAGAACTGCTGTCTATCTGAAGAATTCTCCCCCATCTTGCTTTTCTGACCTGAACAACCACAAAGCCTCCTTAGACTCTGAAATTCAGTCCTTTACCTGTAAAACAGGGTTAACAGCACTTATGGCCACTCAGGACTCTGTCAATAAACACATTAAGACCGCTATCCAAGCACGTTGCTCCAAATGAGCTAGGACAGCAATTTTCAAACTGGGGATGAATTTTCTGGAGGAAGATATCTTACAGGAGCACAGCAGCAGGAAGATGATGAGTGGCATCGTGAAGAGGGGACTGAGGCAGGGAGCAACACAGAAAATGTTGCAGTTAGGGGAGGGAGTGAGCAAAGCTGAGAGCCTGAACCCTCCACCAGCTGTTACTGAGTGGAAACATCGCATCTCAACCTGTAATCACCATGATTACCCTTAAAAAAATCCAAAGGCTTACAAACCCTCAGAAAACCTCCTACTGAGTATTCTGAGATTAGCAGGCTTGGTGCATGAATTCCCAGGAGAAATTCTCTAGCCTGTTGTACAAATGAGATTAACTGAGATAATTATCCCATCTGACTTCAAAAGGCAGAAGTCTCTCCAACGTGAGAGACCCCTCACCATGTCCCCTCAATTACATTATCTGCACAGAGCAACTAAAAATCTGCCAACACATTATCTCCAACACTGATATAACAAAATCGTTTCAGACAAAGATTCGCAACCTTTTCCACCTGGTGACCTCCTTTACCACAGAAGAATGACCTGGGATGGCTCTCCTTTTAGCTTTCAGGAAATCTTCTCAAATCCCAGCCTAGATCAACAGCTCCTCCCAAAGGAGATTTATGGGCACAGCCAATAATAGAAATTACGTTAGCTCTGTAGTAAACAGTTTTGGGGGAAAAAAAAAAAAAAAAAAAAAGGATACAGCAACACTTACTCTCAACAGCGTGCACTGCAAAAAGGAGAAGAGCAGGAGAGAAAAGAGAAATATTCAGATCCTCACAATTAAAAGATACAGAGATTCAGATAAAGCAGCATTTAAAACTCGTACCAAAAAGGGGAAGAGTAACAGCTTTGCCGGTGTGCTTTCTAGGCCATATAAAATGACTCCCTAGCTAGCCTAAGGACTGATATATGGACAAGCAATCATTTAAAGAGTAACAGAGAAACAAAAATGCAGGAATTAATCACTAAAAGGAAAAATACAGTGGGATGTCCACAGATGTTAAGTGAGCTCTAAAGCAGCATGCTGGTTATATTTAGATTCTTTTTCAGTCTTAAGGTAATAGAAAGGTCATTTTAGGAGCAACCAAAGCTATCCAGAAGCGCACTCAAGGTTTACGTTCACAACATATTAACATTGAAAGCTGGGTAACAAGTTTTTGTTCTTAATCAGTCCTCTGCTTCTTTCATCACACCTGAGGCACAGAGAAGGTAGCAAACCATGAGGTTGTTCTTGTTCATTCTGTTGCAAGATCCCAACAAAGGTGAATACCTGGAAGGATGCGGGGCAGGGGAAATGTATGTTTGGATGGCATATCTCAAAGGAGGTTAAGTAACCTCCTTTTTTGTTTGTTTCAAAAGACCGTTCACGTATATTCCACACTGTGCACGACTAACCAGTAACTGTCATAGACTTATACCTCCTCAGAGGCGGGCCTCTGAATCCTTCACACAGCAATTTCGATCCGCTTTCCCAAATGCTACCTCCCTGGTGGTGTGTCTACAACAGCATGGTTTTGGGTATGGAGAAAGTATGGAAGGTATGGAGAGCCTCCAGATGGCTCCTTGACAAACATTAGGCATTCCCAACAACTGGTATGACTTGAGCTCTGACGGATTATAGTCCAGTGACAAATGGAAATGTCACGTTTGTGGTCTCCAAAACAGACTTGGTATAACTTGAAAACAGTTTGTCCATCTGCACAGAAATGGGTGAGACCTTGCATCTTTCAGCACCAAGACAACCAAACTCTGAAAGGAGTTTGCCAGCGTAAAAAGAAAAGTCCTTAGCAATGCTGAGGATGAAATAAGAACCTCGGCCTCCAGTATTCAGTTTGGGGATGAAAACGGTCAACTCCCTGGCAGACGCTACTTTGGGACACAAGTTAGAATGAGCTCACACAAACACCCTCTATGGAAGGAATACAGGTGATCAACCAGAGGATTTGGATCTCCTCCACACTGAAATGGTGTCCTTGACTGATGGAGATCGAGTCCCACGGGGTTTTTTTTTTCAAGAATGTTGAAGGGCAGGAGAAGAGCTCAGATGAGGAACTGGTACCTGTAGAAGGCCTGTGCAATAGTAACAGCCCCACAACTAGTAGGACTCCTGGAAAGGAACAGAGAAAGAAGCTGCAGTCTCTGCGGAAAAAAGAATTAGTGTCACTTGGTCTTGGTTGCCAATGAGAAGTGCCAAGGGACCTAAAAAATGACAACCAGTCTTCAGCCAAAGCCTGTATGCCCTTTTGCAATTCAGCACTCAAAACATTAAAAAGTATGTAAAATAAGAGAGGCTATTAGGGGTCATCCATAGTGTCCAAGGATGCCTTCAAATAGGTCCTGGCTGTCAAACAAATCTCTAGTAGAGAAAGGAGTAAAACCCTCCCTTAAGTACGTAGGCAGAACATTAATGAAGGTGTACAACTGACCAGTGAATTTGTGCTCTTAGAGAGCTAACAAAGCTTCGCGCATTTTAGGCAAAGCTCGGTGACTCTGAGTAGGCAGCTCCTTTTCCCAAACCATCATCGTCTCAAAGAGCAGCTTACTTGGGATTTTTCCTTCCACAATCATCACCACAAATGAGGAGGAAAACAAATGGTAATCACAAAAATAGTGCCTTCAAAGATAACTTTGTTCCTCCCGTTGACCACGTAGGGCATAAGAAAACCACAAAATTCGGACCACATACAGAACTGCTTCACCCACAGAAAGCGTCACGGTCATTGAGTGTGTCTTTAGGACAGAGAATGTCCTGAATGTTGTCATCAGCGTCAGCTTCTTTTCTAGGGAATTGAAGGAATCTAATGATACTTTTTAAGGAATCCTGAAAAGCTCTCTGGCTGTCAATAAAGCACGATGGGCAATGTCTTCCCTAAAAAACAGTGATGATGGCACCTCAGCAACAGAATGGTCCAAACAATCTAAAGGATGAGTGAGAAGCCTCAGCTTCCCCTTGACTAGAAGAAATATGGCAAAGAAGGAGGAAGTGATATGACAATCATCTCTCTCCTGAGGAACCTATCACTAAGGTCTCTCCCGCATGCTGGAAACTCGCTGCCAACCACCGCAGCTGAAGCAGGAGATGGTTGCTACTGTACAGGCATAGACAGAAATGGCAGCAGCGCCTGAACCACAAACCTCAGGAGGTTCAAAAGCTAGACCATTCAATCATTCCTCTTTTCTCTGAGACAGGAAGGAAAGAGAGAAGGTATGAACTGCTGCAGAGAAAACAGCCAGGATATCCAGAATCACAACCTGGCATAGCTGGTGCTGGAGGCTGTCTTTACAGAGGCACAAGTGAAAGAGATGACTTCACCAAAACCTGCAGCACCCTGCATAAACTGAACATAAAATCTCAGTTTAGGATTCAAAGGCTGCGGAGCAGACAACAGTGAAGCAAGCCCAATCTCAGCTAGTACGAAATGAATAAGCAGGGCTTGAGGCTGTGCTGCTTGGAACAGAGGACTGTAAGTATCAATAATGTTTGACTCTGGTTTTCCCTTGATGCAGGAAAGCCAGCACTACTAGTTTCAGTGCCAAAAAGTCTGCTTGGAAGCGCTTCAGTCCTCCTCACGACCTCCTTCACTCCTCCTCCTAACGACCTGGGATTTCTCAGTGCAACCGGACCACAAATGAGCTGAGGAACAAGACAAGACCATTTGCAGCCGGTATGACATTCAGGAGTTGGGGGTCTTCTCTGACACTGAAGATGGAGCATCACGGTGCAGGCTTAAAGCGATCAGTTTTCAATGCTTCCAATAACTTGGGATGAAAATCAGCATCACTGCTTGCTTCAAAAGCAAATGCCCGAAGTTTCAGCTCGTATTATCCAGGAACACAGCATGCAAAGGACAGACAGACAGAGTGAGCACCTGCCCAAGAAGCACAAGCAGTGTATTTACGCACTAGCTAAAAGGTAATTAGCCATTATAGATGGCACAAAGGCATAAGATCAGCCGTGTGAATTCTCCTAGAGAGAACAATTTTGATGACCTGAGATGAGGAATGAATAGCAACACACACTAAAATGTCTAGTAATGATGAAAACTAAGGTAAAATATGAACAAACTCTATGCTGCAAAACTACCTCTAGCAATAAAGTGCTCAGCCTCCGATGGTCAGCTGAGAAGAACATAGCATCTCCTTACTCATGAACCAGCCAAGAGGGAAAGCACAGTAGAAGTGTGTCTTTTATAGATACAATGGGGGTCAAACTTTATCAGTTCTTGAGTCTTCCAGTTAGGTATACTGGAAATGTGACTATGGATGGATAAAAGTTGCATTAACCTAGCAGAGCTGGACCTTTCTCTTCAGTTGTCTAAAGACAGAAAAACACCCTCCCTCAATTTCCAAATTACATTTCCTTCAGGGCCTGGGGGTTATGAGAAACCAAAAGGAATGCAAAGTTGTATTTAATGACTGTGCAGAACAACTTTCACCTAGGTTGGGTACATATGTATAAATACGGAACCAACATCAAAAGAACATGAGAACAAAGGTTACATACAAGCATAGAAAAACATCCACACAAACAACAAGGGAAGTGAAATCATCTCACCTGGATTTACATTCACGCAGGCAGAAACAAAACAAAATAAAAAGGACAAAATAACTTTTTTCTTACAAGTAGACAAACTTTTTTTTTTTTAAACACAGTTTAAGTTTCCCAGCATTTCCAGTGTTTATGGTTCCTTCAGACACATAAACATTGCATAAAGACAGGAAGGAGAACTTGTGTTAAAACAAGTGAAATGTCAAACGCTTACTTTGCAAAAAAAAAGATTATCAGGAGACCACCAGAGGTCCTTGGGGCATAAAGATTACCATGGTATAAGGATATTTAAGAAATAAGCCTGGGGTCACATAAGATTTGGGTAATGCATTTTTCTGAGAAAGTTTGAGATGTTAGGGGCTTGATTTTTTTATGAACAATCCTCAGGACATTTAGAATGCCAAACGCAAGTGAAATACGATTTGAATCTATTTCAGCAGATGTTAGCCTATGAAGAGATAACGCACTTGCATCTCTTAAGGGCATGAGATTCATAGGCTACCTACTTCAAAACTTTGATTCCTGTTAGTCAATATACATGTCTGCGTTAAAACACATACACATACGATATTGTCAATAAGTAACTCAGAATCACCAAATGTGATTGTAAATAATAAAACCTGATATTCAGTAAACTCTTAAGAAGGGTGGCTTTCATGAGGCTTACCCACTCATACAGTATTTAAAAATGAAAAAAATTGGAGAGCAATTGCTGATAAGTTGATTTTGGTGGCTACTTATTAGCATTCTCCTGATTAGGAAAGTGACTGAACTTAGGCTGCCGTATTTAGCTAACGTTAGCAAACTTGAATGTAATTTCCATCTTTTTTCCTAGTCTAAACAAGGACCTCTGATCTCCTCTCTCTTAATGGAAGGACTTCTGCCAAGCCAAAGACAAAGAATCAAGGTTCATGGATGTGAGAAATGGGATGAACTCCTCTGGGCAAGGTGGCTCCCTGCCTTTCACCTATATTCGTCTCACATTCAGCTGGTGCTGTCAAACCTCGCCTTATGCTGAGTTTTAGAACCTATAAAGTATTATTTCAGGCAAATGATTTCTGGGGACAAAATATGAGTATGCGAGAACAAGAACACAGACAAGGAGAGAGAACTGTGTACGGAAGAGGAAGCCCACACAAGAAATTAATAATCCCTGAAAAATAAGACTTCTGGGTCAT